ATAGAGATGCCTGTCTTCGTATTAGGAAAGTCGGGGTGTACTATCTGGGGTTTCGTGATGACGCAGCTCACTGATTGCATCAGAAAACGTTACAATGGAAGCATTACGCGGCACTCTCGTAGCCTGGTGCTCCGGTTGTGAACAAATGTGGTCAGGGGCTTGGGCCATACTTCGCTGCATCAGTCGACAAGGGCCCATACCTCCCGGATTGGAGATCTCAATGTCACCCTCTTTTGGAGCACTCTGAGCAGGGTCGGAGAACATAATCTTCGCTGTTCCAAACAGCGATCCTCTTGCGTAGTGATGCACGGGACCGAACTTGCTTAAGATGCTGTCCAGCGGTGCGGATGACAAATATTTGATCTGCGTCGACAGCGCACAGTGTTCTGCAAATTGGTCTCACGATACGTGCATGTCTACATGTAGGCGATCGAGCGTACACCATATCAGATGAAACCACTATAAGCACAACATAGCTGATAGTGCACTGCATCAGATGCGTAGTATCGTCTGCACAAGTGCAGGAGAATATATCAGTGTCTCGCACCAGCTACACATGAGTGTGCGATGTGTAGTTTTGCAACTCTGAGAAGAGCATCTGCATGTCAATTGTGATCTCCCCGTTATGTGACAGTAGGTGTACAGCTCGTTGAAAGGAATCGGCCAATAGCAAGCAGCAACGTTGGCATAAAAAACACAATTCAACATACTGAACTATGCCTTGTAATTGTACTGCAAGCTATAAGTAGTTTACTGTAGGCTATAACTAGCCTACCATAGGATACTTGTTCTTCCAAGGGTGGAATAGTATTTCGCACAAATTATAAGGTACACTGACAGATCGACCATCGGCAATTGGCAACATGCGCACCTGAATTGTTACTCCCAATCCCAGCTTGCCGGGCGTGGGATAATCGGAACATCTCGAAGGCTGACCGTGACCTTCCTCGTCGCGAATGTCTCCCTTTGAGATACACAGACTGCTATTCCGCATAATTGAACTTCATGAACTTCAAGATTTGCAAAGGAGGTTTGCCAAGAAAATTCCGTAACACCATGATTTTGGAGGGCGTACCAAGGCTTCCCGCATCAACTACTCAAGTTCAATGAGAGAGCAATGTCTTAGCTTATAAACTTACATAACTTATCTTGCTTAAGTGTGTGGGTGTGGGTGTGCTCCCTACAGGATCTAGCATATGGGGTTTCCATACATGCCGCTGCGCCAGCGCAGAAGCGCTCCTGGCGCATTGCGCGGGCGGCGCAGCGAAACACATGCGAAGCGCACGCGAACCACCCCAAACCGATATCCACGCAGCCCTGTGGCATCGTCATCAATTCAAACATTGCAAAGATCGCCAAGCCGAGGCGACAGAGATGCGCACACACACAGAGACGCGTTCCTTGGCAGGGAGCGAACGCCCTTCGCGTAACGAGCCGCTGATGGGACAGCAGGGCCAGCGGGCGGAATCCCTGCCGTCGGCGACGGGCCCCATCGACCACACACCAAAATCTTCGCACAACCCGCAGGCTTTGAGCTCTCCGAATTACCTTTATCATGCCCTCGGGCAGCGCCCGGCAGGCGACCACGAGGGCGCAGACGAGAGCCGAGCACAGCGCCCCTCCCGCTCGTTGACCGACCCCACGAGCAAGCCCTGCCTGCCGCCGCCGCCGCCGCTGCAAGTGCATGTCTCCCGAGGCCCACATGTTAGCCCCGCGAAGGTGGAGGCGCGCCTGGGGCCACGAGCTTTGGAGAGTGCCGCCCCCGGGGCAGCGGCGCCGTTTGGGTCCGGCCGCACGCGTCTGTCCGTTACTGTCCCCCGTCAGACCAGTGGTTCCGCTGATGGGCGGCATTTGCATGCATCCCGGGATCTTGTGCGGCCAGCATACTATGGTAGTACTACAGCGTGGTACCCATTGGCTTCATTTAGCAGAATGAGGGAAATCGGCCAGCAGTCCATGCACTGCGCGCAGCTGGGCGGAGAAGTGGCCGTGGACTACTTGTCTCGCTGGAGAAATTGCGGCGGCGCTCTGTGCGTCATGATTCACAGCAATCGGGCACACCAGCACACAAGTCAAATATGTCTACTCCATTGCATCAATTGATCCATATGTGCGCCACTGCACTGTGCCCTGCACAGCATACAACGAACATCAACGCGCCGCATCACCACATAATAGAAACAGAGTGACAAAGTGGAGTGCAGCGGAATGATAAGAGTAGAGTGAGAAAATTCTGCGAGCTCGTAGGAAGTTTCTTAGGGGCCGTGCCGTGATAAGATATGCCAGCCACTCGTGGCGCGAATCGAATGACGCAATCATATCGCAGATTCTCAAGCAATCAATGACGTTACCAAAATGCAATTGCGCATTACGATTAAATGTGAGCAAACAGAACATTCCACACTTTGCGACGAACGGAACACAAACAACGGAGTGTGATATAATTAACCATGGCCCTTGTGCTGGAAAATCAGAAATAGTGTGAATGCGTTGGCGCAGCTGACAATAGGATTCGTAGTTTTCCATGAAATTGTGTGGGGAAACATGCATTAATAATTTTGCCAAATACCTGTATTTTGTCGTGAATACTGTAGATGAAGATCGAATGGATATGGGGCTGCACAAGAAAATGGACATGATCCATGGGGCAACGCGAATGTCCAGTCAATGACGCATCCGTGGATCCCAGGGCGCCATTTTAAGCAATTGTATCTATTGGGGTGCCTGTTGATAGTCACTATCGAAACGTTTCGATTTGTGTATGATGCATAGCAAACAACAAGTTCTTGACAGTAACACGCATTCCCAGACCCCAAATTCAAATCTCCTGGATCGGTGGTCAGAACGCACGTGTCATCTGACATTCCATCAAAATATTTTAATTCAAGGGTGCGCACCGTTTTCGCCCTCAGTGACAGTTGCTCTCCAGGGTGCTATTTGCAAGTGCAGTGTCTGAGTTGGGATCTCACTTGGCTTATCTTCCGATGAATCTTCTCTTCAGTTTCCATGTCGCAGGTGTCCTACTTCCATCCGCATCTTTGGCGATGACCCTAACAGCGTACCACGTATGCATCCCCTGCTGGTTCTTCTGGATATGTGACAGGCGTCAATACAACTGCCCAATATCTTTGGTGGCAATTCAAGAAACGCGGCAGAATTGCTTGACTGCGCCTTCGCATTTACACAGCGACGGTGGGCGTTCTCTGCTCTGTTGCCTTCTCCATGATGATTGTGAATCACAGTCGTCATGAGAATTGGTGGCGCGAATGCCGGTTTAAATTTCGAATGAAGTTGATGCTAACGGTGACAAATCACCCTTGCGCCACCTCTCATCACTGACTGATTGATTGTTGGTCGGCGTTTTCCGAGTTTTACACTTCTCCCAAGCTCTCTGTATGCTCTATTTACCCTATATATTTTACTTGCAAGAACCCACAAATCTATTTTAGAATTAATGCTCAATTCAACTGGGCGCAATCAATGAGACTGGTGCTCTTGGAACGGTGGGCGCAGTGGGAGGCTTCAGGGTACAGAGTCAGCCACCGATGAATTTCTCATTGATTGAATGGTGAGAGGCTAAATGTCCGAACACCCTCAAGGCGACCAAACGGTGAACATCGGGGACATGACGATTGCAAGTCCTCCGGGAGCTTCTTTGGTGCCTTGGCGTGCATCGACTGAGAAATTCGATTGGCATTTCAGAACCTCCTTCACTGCGATGGATCAGGAGCCTTGGGAACGCTTTGTTTTTGTTGCGCTTATCGGAAATTGACACTGAGCTCCTCCTCTGGAAATGGTATACCCCCGACCCCACCCCGTTGGGCAGGCACTAGCCACCAGCGTAAAATAATTATTTGACGCAACATTTCAGCCCATGACCTGATCTCCTGATGTGACGTCTTTTGATCAGAAAAGGGCAAGCCGCAACGTTGTGTGCAAGGTGGAAAAGCCTTTAGGGGTGGGAGACAGCCAGCACTGCAGCGAATGGAGAGAGTTGAAAATAGGGTGTTCACAGTGATGGCAGGCAATCATAGCTGCCCTAAAGGCATGCAGGCATAGAGACGTTTGGGAGTGGTTCTGGAACAATCCGTGACTTGTTCACCGCTAATCAGCGGTGGTTTGGTCCTCTCCCACAGCCCTCCCCACCCACACAAGTTTGTCAATCTAACGCTAAGCGTAGCAAAATCGGCATGGTCAGCTTCCTTGCTGGGTTGATGGCAACACCAGCACGCGACGTTTTGCGTCTCTCATCGCCTGCATGTGTGGTCCATTCAGAACTCTCTGTTATGGCCCCCTGTGTCCCTAATGGTGCATTTTATTGCAATCGAACTGCACAGCTGTCATGTACTGAGTTCAAACAACCCGCATTATCCTACTTCTGATCAGAATTGAAACGATGGCAACGGTGATGCAATAGTCGCTGCCAACCGCTGGCGTCTGCCATCAATGCCTGAATGTTGCAACAGCGCCAGCGTCAAATTGATGCCATCAAACCCACAAAAGGACACTCAGCTGTTTTATCTGCAGCACAGCTCTGGATGAAGTTCCGTTTTTTCTCCTTCACACCGCATGATTCATGTTTGAGAGACAATTGAGAAAATGCTGCGTCCAGCAAGAGCCGAAAATGTAGATGCACTGGGATCTCAGGCGGAAATGACCGTGAGAGACAACACAGCACACTGAATACCAACCATGTACGTGATCCCTGTTGTCGGCACAAGCGGGCAAGATAGAAGACAAGGTCTGTTGCCCATAAGAACTTCTTCACATGGTTCAACAATCCGCACCCTGGAGAACGTTCGCGGTCCATCCATCACACACTATGCCGCTGGATCAAAGATTTTCAATACCCACTCTCCGGGCTACATAATTGTGGCATTGTGTACAGCAGCTTGTCAAACCCACAAACAGGTAGAGAAACTGCAACCGAAGAATTCCCCCCTGCTCTTTGAGCGCTGTCAATGGCAGGGTGCAATAAAGAACCACACGATTCAATGGCGTCATGCGTTCAAACCGCTCATGCAGCTCTCATACGCGGTGAAAATAGCAGCATTGACGAGAAACGCGCGATACAGGGTGGCTATCAGGCCTCTCCAGAATGGGGCTGCACCTTCCAGCCTGTAGATCTGAGCCGCACATTCGACCCATGTCTTGTACGGTGATCTGTCTCGGTCCAACGCCTGCACTCGAGACTTGCAGACGTCCAATGGGTACACGGACAACCAGGATACAACACCCGCTACTCCACCTTCAACAATACAGGCACAGGAAGCAGTCGGTTTTCTAAACGAGCAAATCATCCAATCCTGCAATCGAAGCTTATGCTGTTGCCAGAGATGAAAACGTCAGAGCAATGGAAAGTCCATGAGGGTCCTTGCGAGGCGCTGCAGTCAGCTAGATGGATGCCGTCTCATGATCCATCCAAAAATGGGCACGTGAAATAATCCCTCACTGAGCGACAATCCGTTGCTGAGACTCCTTGCATGCCACAGACAAATTCGGCCTCGTACAGATAGACATCCACGCCACTGCATGCTGAGGAGCCAATATTACTTAAGCTTTGCTTTGGCTGGTTAGCTACAGAGAATGTATTGGACATCGGCTTACATCTGGATTAGGCATTTTCGTAAACAACATGGCTGGATGGCAACATCCAACAGAGACAACAATCCACCGCAATTAGATTCGGGATGCCGAAGACCATTGCCTCGGATCTGCACCGCTGATTCATCTTGCAAGGACGAATTTGCAATGCACCAGAACAGCACACCTTTATGCATATGCTGTCGGTCTTCAGGACGAAGGACAGACAATTTATAACCTGCTCAGCAGGCAGTGCATGGACTCGTAGACCAGAAACACAGCTCCAGCATCAATGAAGGCGTGCAACAGGGTGGGGCCAAAACCTCTGAAAAAAGCCCGCCAACCCTCTTCCTTGTGCAAGCGCCACCCACAATGCACCCAATTCTGATAAGGGGACGTCAGGGCGTCGTGAACTTGCATTCTGGACTTTACCACGTCCAGTGGGTACACAGGGGGTAGCGACAAGAGACCAGCCACACCTCCTGCAAAGGTAATTCCATTGCAGGTGAATGCACAGGCGTGTTGCAAGCCATTGCCACTATGTACACTGGTTCTGGACAGATTTGGCCTTGGGATCAGCAGATGCTCAGAGGAAACACCATGTCGATTTGGTACGCTCAGCGTCAAATTGATGATAAGAGTACCAAAATCACACAGTGCCTTCCCTAATAGAGGCGGTAGGAAATTGTTTACAGAAGGTGTCCAAAATGGCACGAGGCTACACTGGGCTGATGTCAGTAGGTACAGCCTCCCCAAAACAGCGGGCATGGACTGCCAACAGAGAAATTCCCTCTACATTTGAAACACAGCAACACATCTCTATCCCCGTATTTTGAGAACCGTACTTCGTTTTTTACTGTGCTTTTTTGGGACAACCTCCACCTGCATGCAGCTAGAGGGATTCCTGCCTGGCCCACATATTGTCACATTCACAAGCACATTTGCCACCAATGCAAAATATTGCAAGACAAACAACAGAAACTGTGGTTATTATATCATCACATCCTTACCTGCAAGAAACATCCCAACTGCTGGTGCACCGACTGCAGAGCACTGGGCATGACCCTTGGACTCGATGATGTCCTTGATATGGTGGTACACATAGAAATACACACCGTGGCTGGGAGTATCCCTTAACAGCGTCACTGGAAGGCCTCGGAAGAGACCTAGCGTCGAGCTACCATCGAGTCAATCAATCAGAAAAACAGCCATTCTGACATCAAAACAGCCTGCAGGACGATCAGGTGCACAAACAGCATGGGCTGAAGCACATACCACACAAATGAGTTTCTGCAATTGCCCACATGCCACCCTCTTTGTCTACATTTGTGCACAATGGCACGGTGCTTCAGAAGATCGCTAGCCAGCGCAAGTGAAGTCAAGAACTGTGGTGAGCAACAATGCCCAGGAACGCACCGCATTGATTCTAATTGACAAGCAGCAAGGAACAACACTTCCTTGGATAACATACTGTGTAGCAGGGCGTTTTCCAGCCAACACCCTTGCAGGATATCTTTCCACATCATTTCTACACACCAGTGCGAGGAAACAACACAATGCCCACTTGGTGCAGTTGGAACAACAGCCACACATAAGAGCAGTGGTCCTGGTGGCACCAGTGGGTACCCCACAACAGCCCCACTAGGGAAAGGGGGAAGGGGGGGGAGGGGCAGCAAACTCCTTTCTGACATGTTCATACCACACACTATTCCATGGGCACATACACATTTGGTCACTTGCATAGTTTGAGCAATAACCACACACACTAGTGATATTTGTGGTAACAACGGCCACCCAACAACACCTCACCTTGCACTCCTGCTCGTTGGATAATCTGCCGCGCCATTCCAAATGCCCCAACGTACGATTTCTGCCCAGGCACTGCAGTTTGGACTTGCAATCGAATTTTCAGAACGTCCACAGGTGTGACCACGAATGACTGTACGGAGCCTGCAAACACTCCTGTGGACATGGGAGTGGTAGTGAGGACAAGCCAGGGGAGACTGCTATTCAGAGATGGTGTTTGTGAGGCCGTGCCCTAGTGACAGAAAGGTTCACTCCGGCATGGAGAATGGCTAACAACATTCACTGAGTAGAGGGGCAATTGCACTGATGCTGAAACAGACATGGCATTGCAGGTTCGTAAAAAATAGGACAAAGTCCAAGGCTCTACCCTTGTCTACGGTTGCTTGACGACTTGGGACAATGTCTCAAGCACATCATGTTGCATGGCCCACATATCATGCTGCATGCAAGACGATCATGATCCCCTTATCAGAATCATGCTTTCACTTTGACGTGAAAGGTGGGCGTCCATACTCCATCATTATATTAGTATGATGTCAGCACCACATTGTTTGACAACATTGTCAGGTTGTTTTCGTTCTGCCACATGCCCGCATGCATGGCCATGTTCACCCAACAGGAGACACACGACATGTATCTGCAGAAGGATGCTGGAGATTCTACCTCATCGGTTTTAGTGGTAGCCATTCTAGTTACATATTGTAACAAATGCGTGGCATGGATTGACCCTCAGATATACCTGACATATACTCATGATCTGAGCCAATCTTACTGTCAAGACATCAAGCAATAGTGGACATTGGACCTTGGCAGTTCTCTGTTCACCTAAACCAGTGATTGTTGTGGCCTGAATTGGATCCATGCTCCCAAATAGTGCACATCATTTTTCTCGTTATATGTTCTGTCATGTTGCTTTCCATCCTAGACTTTGTTCTCCAGCATGGTATCTCCAATTCTCCTTCGACATCTCAAGACTTGAACAACTAGTATCTAGATCTTTTTATTGCAAAAACATGATGGCAATTGGCATCGAAGTATCGTTGGCAACATTGTGAGGTGTGCCAAACCATATTATTGCATGGCATCTACACCACAAGGAGGGGCAACATGTCTGACATAGAAAAACGATTATCGTGTTTTTGATCAGTGCGATGGCCACAAAAGTTTGCAAACACAGGTGTTGTTTGGAATGAAACAAATTAACAAAAAATGCCTTATTGTGATGTAGCTTTCTAGAAAGACCGGATAATAAAAACCGAAAGGGGCATAAGCAACGTGTTACAAACAAGATGGTCGGTGATGCCAATGAGATGACATCTAGTGGCATAAGTAAGCTAAAACAAAGGCGACACTGCCCGAGTAAAGGTGAGTTACAAACACCAATGCAATATACATTCATTGTATATATTGTAGCACTTTACACTAAGTTCCAGTTGCAGCTTGCCTTCACTTGCGCTTCGTTCTTTGTGTATTGTTGTCATAGATATGTTGTGGTGTGTCAGTCTACTTGGCAATTTCAGTTGTTTTGGCGCACTATTTCTGGAACACTCTCACGACCCTTGTACCTAAAGCCAATTTTTGAAGCGGCTCAAGCCAAGTTTTGTGCTCAATATCTAGCAACACATTAGAGCCCACCAATGTACGTCCCTAGCATCGAAGCTTACATGGCTTGATGCAAGGAATGGCGTTCCTACTCCCACACCTAGCCTATTATACATAGCTTATTGCACTTTTAATCATCCTAATTTAAGATTATTTAGTATTAACTAATTGTTGTTCTTGGCAAATGCCGCACCTTATGAGCAGTGGATTGTTTTTCATGCTCAGCATTTGGGTGTACCTCTAGATGGTCTTGAAAGACGAGTTTCCTCAATTTTCTAAAGTGGTTGTTGGCAGTGCTTGTACGTTCTTCATGCCTTCTCTAGATATTCAATGCGACATTATTTTTCCCAAATTTGATCATCGCTACTATGCATAATTTTATACTTGCAACAATTTCTATTACCTCTCATTAGTATCCAGATAGCTGATTGATGTTGTGCCATTATGACAATAAGAAACATCATCTTTTTATTTCTACTTTAGTTATAAAAACTGACAAAGCATTTGTTTGTTTGTTTTTCAGAATTTGGGGTAACTCCGTCCATGTGCTGGAGATTACACCTGTGCAGAGGGGGAATGGGGCTGTAGGTGGGCCCCGAGTCGGAGGCGCTTTCTGCAGCTGATGTGTACCATGCTACACCGGTGCGGAGATGCCTTTGACCTCCATGCCACCTTCCCGCCCCATGCAATGCTTGCTTAAAGGTGTAAACATCTTTAACACTAGCAGAATTGGTGTTGGGGGCTGCAAGACATGCTGCAAGCCTTGTGTAATCTTGGATGCCACCACCTATATAGCCAAGGCAATTGAATTTCTCGCTATCCATCTCATTTGTATATATTGTACATATACATCACTTTGTGTTTGAAAAATAGCTCATGCTGCAGAAGACCTATAGTTCTAAATCGGGAATCCAATAGGAATATGTGGCATTGCAAAAAAAACACAACAAGAACAAATTCACAAGCTTAATATGCTTCAAAACAAGTAGATCTTCAAAGGGCACTTTGATTCCAATGGGAATTATAACATGACATCATTGCTTGTGTTCAACAGACTTATCTTGCCAACTACAAAGTCACTCAATGCACCAAAAACAATGTTGAGAGCAATTGATGGTACAATCCCTAAAGTTTGGAATCAATCCCAAAATTGTTGTTCAAACTTTGTTTGCATTTCTTGAAATGTAGGGCGCCTGTACTATACTATCCAACGAGGGGACCATGGCAATGGACAATTTTGGAGGGAACATGCTATTGATATAATTCTTTAACCAAGCTAACAATTACTATATACCACCAAATCATATTGTAATGTATTATGTTTCAACGCCGTCAAAAGCAGGAAGCAAGCAAGGAGGTCTATGTACGGCCTCCCCCCCCCCCCACACACACACCCCAAGGAAAAAGGTCATAAGGCACAAATCTGTGTAGGCATAGTCTAATTGCAAGAGTTGTACATCATACAACCTCTATAAACATATGGTGTGTACTCTCCTCAGCGAAGTGTTTTGTTGACATGCACTCTCTGGTTGCCTCTAATGGAAATAGCAATAGAGAACCAATCGTAAATGAAGCATCGGGTGTGGATATGTCATGAGCCATAGAGGTACATGTGCAGGGCAATGCAAATACCTCCCTACACCAAAGGGCGGAATGTAGTGGCATATGTTTGCCCGTGAGCACTCATGTCTCTTGTGTAGCCATGGCACTTGTCTCAACTTTTCCTAAGCCCCGTCCCCACCTCTTCGCCCCCAACAACCACATCTTAGCCTCCTTCAGCAATGCCTTGATGGCACCCCTCCCACCGCCATTCCTTGCTCGAAGCCCTAGTGCCTAAAGAGCAAGCTCAACGGGTTCAGGTTGTCAGTAGACGATGTTGCTATCCTCCCAGTGGTTGTCTATAAGCACATTGTGGATGTCCATCGTGGCTAGCTGGCTGCTTACTGGGTGGCAAAGCTCATTTCTTTGGTGTTTGATGCAATGGACCCATTCCTCACTCTTGATGTGGTATCCCAATTTATGGATGACTTGAGAGCGACAGTAGTAGAGCCTTCCAAGAAGGGCTTTTGAGGCGCTCATGAGATCTAAGGTGAGCCTCATTTTCTAAGAAAAAATAACCTGTCGAATTGAGTTCATAACACCTGGGATTAGAATTGAGATTGGGGTAAAGAGCATCCACAATACACATTCATGAAATATTGGTGCCCCTCCAAATTCTTATGGTGTGCTAAATTTTGATATGCATATACAATGATGTTGTCCAATTAGTGGCATACATTGCACCCAAATCGAAATGAAGCCTTGACAAGCTTTCTGATTTTGTGGTCTTGGCATGCAATATTTGCTGCATATGGGTCCTTCAAGTGAATAAAGGTATAGCTTGCTTGACGGTCCTTATGGCGGATGCTTACTTTTGTATCACTGCATGATTGAATTTATGCCATGCAATTGACAATGCTTTAACATTGATCAGAGTATTGACAAAGTTAATAGAGAAGCAATTGAGATTGTTGTGATAATTGTATTTTAACCACCTTGTTCTCATGCTTCAATGTAGCCAACCATTCTTGTCATAATTTGGATCTTTGGAAGACATCAACCAGTCCACCAAGGATACATCTCATGAGGATGGATTGAAATCCATAAAACCCAAACCCATTTAATTGATGGCTTTGGGAATTGCTGCTCATGTTCCCCTAAATATGGTTGGACCCAACGATTGCCCACCTTGGTGTTTGCAAATTTTAGATGTCATTGCTCACATCTGCAATGGTCATGTCCACGATATCTAGGATAGAATAATTTTACTAATAAACAACCAGGATTGTAAGCTACTGATCTTTTACATCACTATATCATGGGCAATTCCTAAAAAAGATATACCTTGGGTATCGTGGATGGCACACACACAAAAAAAAATTGGCGATATAACAATTCATGGCTAAGATTGAGCATTTTTAGTTGTACTTACATAGTTGTTGAACATTGCAGAGGGTGTTCTATATGATGGTTGAAATTCTAGATGCTAGCGGAGACCTCCAGCCATTCTTCCAGTCCTGTGAAAAAGCCAATCATACAATTCCTATCTATGTGCAGTCCTCTTATGAGCGTCGTGGCAGGAGCCATAGGCACGCGAGGTCAGGAGATGGGAGAAACCATCCCACAAGCCCCCCAGATTGAAGGGGGCTTGGTGACTACAGGATCGATGGCCAAGTCCCCCGAGACCCCCCCAACCCCCACCCCCACCCTCTGGAGGGTCTGGATCTTCTCGATGCGGGGGATATTGCCTCGGCGCTGGCCAATAACCTTGAGACGTGCAAAATTGTGCATGTCAGGGGGCATGATAATTCAGCAATATGTCTTCTCTTTTCATTTTGTCTTTCAGGTCCAAACAAGGTTAAGCACCGGTTTTGCCATTCTTCATAACTCTTATTTAACAGATAATTAATTAAGACTTCCTAGATGGAAAATGGAAGACCCGGTGCTTAGCAACTTTCAGCAATTCACTAGAAAACAATGCATGGACCAAATGCACATGTACTGCCAACCTGACCGTTGCTTCTA